TACTGTGTATATATATATATATATATATATATATATATATATATATATATATATATAAATACACACACACATTTAGGAAAAATATGTTTATATAATATATTTATATATATAATATAAATTATATTAATATAAATACATTTTCAAAATACATACAGTACACATTCCATAACTTTTATTTTGGACGCGATTAATCGTTTGACAGCACTACTTAAAACGATTTAAAATAAGACAAAACAAGCACTGAAATAAGATACTGTACATCGACTAAAAATGCAAGATATTTCTTAGTATTTGGTTATTTTTATAATAAATATATACATGTTTCTAGTCATGCTAATCTCTCAAATACTTTGGATGAGTGGCGGGGCAAATCCCAAATCCTCCTAGTCTGAAACCAAGACTAGACCGAGTACAAATGGTCTAGAGACCGGCCTCGAGTACTACACAACTACAGTAGAGTCCATTTCACTGGCAATAAACTCATTCAGAAACTAAAGCGGAACTGTTAAAGTTCAAGAGCAATTCTGAATGACTTGCCTGTAAACATTTTAAAAACCACGTAAAGCTATATATCCCATCAAAAAAACTAAAGTTGCTAGAACGTTTTTCTAACATACCCTTTATAGGTTATAAACGTTACTTCAGAAGTGTTAAAAACATTTTTTCCTTTGGTTATGCAAATGTTAAGTGAACGTTCCGTTGTATCATTTTGCAAATATAATGGGAGTGTTACATTTGAATGTTCTCTGAAAATTCTAACACTAGTAACATTTTAAATGTTTCAAACTATGTTTTGAAGACATCACTACAGATCAGATCAATTAACAAATATTCTATGAATGTTTGTTCATAACTTCGACAGAACATCAGCCAAAGTTCTGACATCATTCCCTCATAACTGGGAATATAGCAAATCTGTTTGTATAACACATATATCACCCAACAAACACATCTTTGCACTGACATCGAACCATTTAGCAGATGCTTTTCCAAAGCAATTTTTGAAAAAAACCAAAACCAAACGTTCAATCATACTGGAACAGTGTTAGAAGCTAGAACCACAACAGTGGATTTCAGAAGTAAAGCAGAAAAGTACTAAGTTCCCCAGACTAATTATTTCAGGATAATCCAAGCAATAGCCTTAAAGATGTGAATCCTGAGAGTTTAGGAATCAAATGACTTCCAAACAGAAGCGATGCGGTGTGAACGTGTAACCGATATAAACCGAACCACTCAAATCAACACAAAACACCTGAGCTTTTTAAACACTGACTTTATTTACATTAAAACAGAAAGTGTCAACAAAAACATACAAGAAAAAGACAAAGAACAGCGATTACTGTGTTGGGCATGCGTTAGCGTCAGGCTTTGCTGGAGAAGCGTTAGGAATCTGCCACCAGTCTTTAATTGGAGCTGCATTTAATGCCGCGCTGGAGCTGGAATCTAAACCAAACACGGACAGAGTTAGAGGAGCATTCACGTCACGTGTATTTCTATAGCACTTCATACAACACAGATTGTTTTAATGCAGCGTCACACTAATAAACATGCAAAATAAGATGAAAAGCGATACGGTTTTATGAATATTGTCATTTAAACCCACACTAAACAAGCCAAAGGTGACAATGAAACCAAACTCCATCAGGTGACAGAAATGGAGAAACCAGCACTATTATTGTTCTGTATTAGGGCTGCACGGTAATCATTAAATGGTTAATCATTGCTCATAAATATCAGGATTATTGCTAGGGGTGTAAATCGGATAGCTCATCACGATACGATATCGATTCTCATACCCAGCAATACGATATTTGCCGATACCGCAAAAAATTATACTATACGATACAGAAGTATATCGATCGATTTATCGATATTATATACCTATTTTAAACATCCATCTAAATTTTGAACTAATCACAAATATATAACATGAACATTTATCTGAAATTTTCACATCCTGTACTTCAATTGGGACATTTCACAATAAAAAAAATAGGCCTACATTTTTTTTTTTTTTTTTAAATACAAAAAAAATAATAATTTGAAAAATAAAATAAAAATCAAGGTCACATAAGATCAGTAATCCAATGACATGACGGTCAAGAAAGTCTTTCAGGCTTCTGTAAAACAGTGTAAATCCTCATTAGGAAACAACTAAAACGAGGTACTCCAGTTGTACAGCCTGGTGACTGCATTTGACTTCAGTGATTGCCAGTTGATGAGTCAAATAAAATTATTATTATAAACAAATTACTACAAGTGAGCTTCTTTAACGCTGGCTCTGGCTCCTTATTGTCGAGCCCTGTAGCCTAACCATAACCGGCAAAACGCGTGAACCGCCAAAAAATAAAATAAAAATACGGTATAGAAAAATTGCATTTTGATAAATGAAAACTAAAATTTAAAGCGACAATCAAAAGTCCCTGATTTTCCACTACTTGGACAAAAAAAATTTTTTTTTTTAAATTCCTGACTTTCAATGTGTAGAATAGACCTTTTAAAGTCCCATGATATTCCAGAAATTCCATGACCCGTGGGAACCCTGCAGTTTAACCCCAACCGTCACTCACATTTCTGAACATAGACGTGAAAGTGCACGATCCAAACTTAAATGTGTATAATTCATAAATGAAAACATTTTGTAATATGATATTGATGTACCATTTTCATGGTAATGCAATGTCTGATTTTAAAATGGTTCTCAAAGGATGAATTGTGAGATTTTAAGTTTTCAATTGTTATATAATTTCTAAAGTGTGATTTTTTTTGCTACAAATGTCAGGACTCCTGTTATGATGTAGATTTTTGAGGTGCACTTGTCATAAATTAATCATTACTTTTCCTACATCATTTTTTAACAAAAAACTGTGATAAAATATCTATTTAGGAGTCTTAGACCTTTCCAACGATATAAAGTTTGTCATGATTAGATTAGGATTTAATTGTAATATCGTGAAGTAAACGTAGAGGGGACGGGTGACAGTTAAGAGGTTAAACACACTGGAGTGTGTTAGTGAAGAACACCCCACACGTGAGCATTTACCCTCTTCATCGCTGTCTGAAGAATCCAGGAAGGACTCGGCTGGCGCACAGGCATCCTCTAACATGAACACACTCACAGTAACTGATCTGCACGCGTGACCGTATGAGACACGGCAGCAGCGCTCACGTACCTGGCACCGCCTCGAGGCTGGAGTTATCGAAGAACTGTGTGGGATGCTGGAGGGGGACAGGAACGCTGGAGCGCACGTCAAAGAACTTGCTCTTGGGCGAGTCCAGGAAGGTCTTCTTGGGCGAGTTGAGTTCGGTCTCTGTCAGAGGAGGAAGGCGTTTGGTTGGCGTGCATGGAGCGTCTCGCTGGCTCTCCTTCATCTTGTACGCTCTCCGCTTCCATTTGTTGATTTCCTCCTGCTGCTTGCTCACCAGACTGCATGAGGAACAGTTAGGAAAGGTCCGAGTAATGCTTATTAACAGAGAGGAGACCCCGATTATAGAATGCACTTCTTTTTAATATCAAAAATTAAAGTGATCCTGGATCCCTGAAAGTATGTCTTTTAAATTCGAATATTGATCATTTAAATGCAAAATTCGAATTTAGCTTTTCAGCCGTTTTGACGGCAGCAGAAGTGACGTGATGTTTCGGTGCGGTTACCTCTCAAACCGAGCGTTCTTCTTCTTCTGCAGCTCCTCCATCTTCTTCTCTTTGGTGCTCGAGCACAATTTAAGGTCAAACTCATCGCCGTCTATGACTGTAGAAGACATTTAAACAAATCAAACGATGAGAAATCAGCACTAGATGTGCATAAAACACTTAGAAAGTCACATCAACACTCTTATGCGCTCAGCTAAGTAGGATAAATGTCTTATCCGGTAAGAAAACATGCGCATGAACTATGACAGAAACACTTTTACTGAATAAATTTCTTAATGCACATCAAAAAAGACATGCGAGTTTGTGACGGGGCAGAATAAAACTGGACTAATCAACAGACCGATCTCAACGCACTGCATCTGAAATGCTTGAGCAAAGTCTCGTCAGAGTGCTTCGTTATAATTAACTCTCAGAACTGCGTTCCTAAAGACGTCTGCGCGCTCTGAAGCTCGTAGTTTATTGTACACACAAGCTATTATATACAGTGCCTTCTCCTGCTGCAGCAAATTTAGTTCTCTTCGTGATGTTTAGCGCAAGTTAATCAGGAAGTTCTCTTCAACGCACAGGAGGGAAACGGTGCTTTATTCACAAATATTTTATGCAATATTCCAATTTTGCAATTTAGTAACTTTGGATGGAAACATAGCTAATGCGGACCTAAAACGAGTGAGCGTGTGTGTGAGTGAGTGAGGTGAGAGAGTGTGTGAGTGAGTGAGTGAGGTGAGTGATTGAGAGAGAGTGTGTGAGCGAGAGAGTGTGTGTGTGTGTGTGTGAGTGAGTGAGTGAGTGAGTGAGCGAGCGTGGGAGTGAGCGGGCGTGGGTGTGGGAGTGAGTGAGTGAGTGTGTGAGTGAGTGTGTGAGTGAGTGAGTGAGTGAGTGAGTGAGTGAGTGAGTGAGTGAGTGAGTGAGTGAGTGAGTGAGGTAGGTGAGTGAGTGAGAGGCAGTGAGTGTTTTTGGGGGCAAATCAAATAAAATCTGCTAAATTGCCTGTGCGAGCATGCTTTAAGTACAGCGCAACACCGATGCACCGGAAAATCAAAAGTTAATTTACAGAATTAAATTAGAACGGAATAAATGTGACCCTGGAGCACAAAACCAGTCATAAGGGTCAATTTTTCAAAATTGAGATGTATGCATCATCTGAAAGCTGAATAAATAATCTTTCCATTGATGTATGGTTTGTTAGGATCTGACAATATTTGAAAATCTGGAATCTGAGGGTGCAAAAAAATCTAAATATTGAGAAAATCATCTTTAAAGTTGTTCAAATGAGGTTCTTAGCAATGCATATTACTAATCAAACATTAAGTTTTGATATATTTACAAAATATCTTCATGGAACATGATCTTTACTTAATATCCTAATGATAAAGAAGTGTGAATTTCCATTTCATGCAGATTTAAGCCTGCATAACAGCATCCCTCTCCGTACCTCCATCTGTTTCTGCGTCTGCTGCAGCTGCAGTAACACTCGCTGATTGTCCTGCAGAAGTTCAGCCTCAGTTTTGGGTAAAGTGCCGTGCTGGGCCTGAAGCAGAGTTAAAGTCTGTCTCCTCTGATCCTCGAGCTGCTGCTCGGACTCGGCAGAGGCAGATATGAGAGGAAAGCGCACAGATTCGCATCGATTCAACAGAGCCTGTCAACGAGAACTGATGGTCAGGAAAGGTGCGGAACAAAGACACGTAGCAGCATTTCAAAACGCATGCATCGCTTACGAAATAAAACGTGTTGAGATGCTCGGTGGCTTTGGAGCGGCGAGAGATTTGTCGCTGGAGCAGCTGTAAGACGGCAGAGGCCTGAGGAGATCCGAGCAGAGATCTCAGCTCCTCCAGATCACGGATCCGGTGCGGACGCTCCTCTGACACCATCACTGCGTGTTTGGATAAACCCTCCTCCAGAACCCTTACACCAGCCTCCAGCGGCTGATCAACACACAAAGATAAAACACATCAGTACCAGGATACTGACAAATACGGCCAGGACGTTTAATTCTATACAAGACAGTTTATACAAGACAGATTGTTTCAAAGCAGCTTCACACAAAGAAAACAGGACAATAACAGCAAAGTAATTTCATAAGATGAATAAAGCAACTCTACAGAGGACAATAGTGTCACTGCTGGAGCAAGAGAAATATAGCGGTTTCCACGCAGCGTTAATTTTGACAGCAAATTTTGATTTAGTTTTAGTCATTCTTTTGACTAAAATGCCATTTAGTTTGTCATATTTTAGTCATCTGAATTGTTTTTAGTTTTAGTCGACTAAATCTACAGTAAATTTAGTAGACTAAAATCTAATTGTTTAGTTGCAGTGCATTTATTAAACATTTCTCTAAAATTTCCAAACTCATATACAGTAGGTTTGATATTAAGGTTTTATCATGATAGACACCGACTTAACTGCGGTGACACAACATGCCTTTATGAGAAGTGGTTTTATTTAATTTTAAAAAAAGAACAGAACATGGTCTTCTTTTTAATGAAATACCAATGGTTATATCGGCTAATTATGCATTCTTTATAGCAACCCGTTTACCATATTCCTAATTTTTTCAAGCAGACATTTATTTCTATAAATAAATTTAGATGAATCTTTAGGGCTACTAAAGTTTTTCGGTCAAGAGCAGTGCGTGATTTTCTGTCTTTCTTTTGTTGCTTGATTAACATCAATGGCTCGGACAATAGCAGCTAAATTAGGCTGCTGGCCCTTTAAAACCGAATGCACGGCTGCAATGGATGCAATGCACTGATACACATTCTCCCTACGGTTTACCTTCACTTAAGACGTAATCAACTGTGTTTACGTGAATACTCATCAAAACGAACAATTCGACATCATTTTGTGTGTAATTCTCTGTTCATGTGACTCGAGAGAGTAACTTACTCGCGCGCTGTGAGAGGCGCTTTCTGTGTGTGTGCTTCAGTGTCTGCGCTCAGAAAATCAGACCGAACGGAGTTCTGTCTTGCGTCGTCAGGTTTATCCATATGTCTGCTCTTCTCTTACTCCCACATATTGCCATTTTTGAACGTTTTATGCAACGAGCAGCAAGTGTATGTTAGCTTATGTCCCGCCGGTTCATATGTACGCGTCTAACCTCCGAACCACGCAGCAGATTCGTTCTGAATGAATCTCTTCCCAAATCGTCCCTCCCTAACATTTGTCTCGTTTTTATTCGTTGACGAAAATGTCAATAGATTTACGTCATGGTTTTTGTCATTCAAAAAGAGTTTTAGTTAGTTATAGTCTCGTTGTCGGTGAAAAAAATTGTTGACGACAATTGACGAAAATTATTCGTCAACGAAATTAACACTGTTTCCACGGTAACGGCTGTAATCAAATAAGTGCTGCGTTCACAAATGCTACTTTATCAGGCATTACAGAAAAGACTAAATGAAAATGCCATTGATGCTTTTCTGAAGACGGTCGGTTCTTTTCAAAGATACATTAATATACAAACACCGGCGCTGCATTTTAATTTTGAAACGTGCAGTGCTCAGTTTATTCAACGAAATGTGTGACCCTGGAGCACAAAACCAGTCATAAGTGTCAATTTTTCAAAATTAAGATTTATGCATCATCTGAAAGCGGAATAAATAATCTTGTTAGGATAGGACAATATTTGTCAGAGATACAACTATTTGAAACTCTGGAATCTGAGGGTGCAAAAAAATCTAAATATTGAGAAAATCATCTTTAAAGTTGTTCAAATGAAGTTCTTAGCAATGCATATTACTAATCAAACATTAAGTTTTGATATATTTACGGTAGGAAATTTACAAAATATCTTCATGGAACATGATCTTTACTTAATATCCTAATGATTTTTGTCATAAAAGAGAAATGTATAATTGTGACCCATACAATGTATTGTTGGCTATTGCTACAAATATCCCCCAGCGACTTAACACGGCTTCTGTGCTGCAGAGTCACATATAAGCCTTTTGAAAAATCTATTTGTTTGACGAGCCTCCACAAATAACTCAATGTATGGAAAACACTGGACATAATCTAAGGCTGATCAATCGAATGTCTTCTAAACATATATCACCCAGCCCTGTAGCTAAACAAAAATGCTCATACCTGCAGGTACTGCTGCCATCTTTCCAGCAGACACGTCAGTCTCTGATCCCAGACCTGCTGGAAGTCATCCTGGAGCGCTCGGAAAGACTGTGACGGAGACTGAGCCGTGAGCGCGAGCAGGTCCTGCAGGCGAGACTCCTCAAACGAGGCCACATCACGCTGCAGCTGCGTCTCAAAGCGAGTCTTATAGCGCTGCGCCAGTCTCCTGTAAGCCTCCTACAGTGGTTTGTCATCAGGTTAGCATTTCATCTCAAAGATGTTGGTGGTTGTGATTCGTGTACTCTTACCGCAATCTTGATCAGCACATGGTTCAGTCTGGTTGTTTTCTTGGTGTGTGTAACGACGACAGTTCTCTGATTCTTTGGAATAATCTGCAGCAGCTGATAGATCACGGCCCATTCTTCACGGTTAATAGCCGCTAAAGCATTAGTGGGACGGTCAATGATCAGCTGGAGCGTCGCAAAGGCCTCCTTCACATGGAGGAAAAAGCTCAGGCTATTAAAACCGTCTTACGACCACACACCACCATCATCATCATCATCTACCTGCAGTTTCTCAGCAGACGCCTCAATCCCAGGAATCAGATGTGCAGATGGGTGTTTAGACTGATCTGAAGACACGCTGCAGTTCACCTCAGAGAGAGACTGAAACACAACGAGACGCAGCTTTAAAAGCTAGTTAAAGGAACCGGTTCTTCTGGGTTAGAACATGAAGAGACCATTCCTCAGGCTATTAAAACAGTCTTAAGACCACACACCACCATCATCATCATCATCTTCATCATCATCATCATCATCTACCTGCAGTTTCTCAGCAGACGCCTCAATCCCAGGAATCAGATGTGCAGATGGGTGTTTAGACTGATCTGAAGACACGCTGCAGTTCACCTCAGAGAGAGACTGAAACACAACGAGACGCAGCTTTAAAAGCTAGTTAAAGGAACCGGTTCTTCTGGGTTAGAACATGAAGAGACCATCACCTGACTGAGGGAATGCACTTCAGATTCCAGCAGGATCTTCTGCTTTTCCAG